AGATTTCGGAGGCCTTTTTATGCAGTAAAAAAAGTCAATAGTATCTTGTTGCTAGTATCAGAAAAGCAATAGACTTTATGCAATTTCTTAATGTATCAAAAGATCTATGCATTTATAGTATCATGTTTCAAACTTTTTTTTTTTTTTTTTTTGCTATTTAAACAAACCAATAAACCTTCTATAGAAATAGCCCGTTTGTTCTTGGCGCCTTTAGAACGAAATGTTTCAACTTCTTTCCCTTACCAAATATAGAATTTGTTCCATTTTAAAAAAAAAAAATGTTAAAGTAAAACTGGAATTAAATGGTCTAAAAACATTATTAAAGTAAGTAATATAGTAAATAAAATAGATAAAAAATGCTCTGTACTTTACATTTTTGTTAAAAAATAAGAAAAAACTACTCTTCACATTTCTAATTATGAATTTTAATAGCGATTCTCTGTAACCACTTAAACTTCTTTGCCACGTATGGTCACCGATTTTGATGAAACTTTCCCATTATTACAACTTGTTACCAGAAACATATACCAAATAAAATTTCGTTGCTATGTGTCTTGGTTGCCATGGTAACAGCCAGAAAAGTTGGAAAAATTGAGATTTTCATCTACTTTGAATCTTAATTAAGCCTTAATAAAGACTAAGAAAAACAAACAAACCATTCTCACAAATACATGACACTTTGTTGCTACTTATGCTATAAAGAAACTTATTTAGAATTTATCTTTAAGTAAGTGGTAACCATGGTACATTTGGAATATATTTTAGATGCTGAAAACTCTCAATAGTCACTAATGATAGGTGTTACTTGATAAAACTCAATCAACAACATAATAAAAGCAATAAAAATATTTGAATTTAAGAAATTAGGTATTGGCAATATTATTTTAAAAATAACTTGCCATGGTAACACAGTGTAACCATGCAAAATCTGTTACTAAGATTGGGTTAATGCTTCTATCTTGAGGAAAAAAATAAAATTCATGACTGGCAAATATACATCCTTAGGACATTGCAACACCGACAACATAAGAAAAATTGGGATCAATTGTTACTTTGCAGTGTAACCATGGAAACAGCGTACCAGTTGTTTAAAGTGATATTTTTTGCTGCTTTAGGAATTTACTTACCTTTAAATCAAGAAACATATTATTTGACTCACCTTGAATAGTACTTATCTGGTAGAACTAAAGTTGAATATCATATATTGGTAAAGTTTGATGAAAAATACAACACTGTTGCTAAGGTTACCAAGAAGGGAAAATGTTCGATTAATGTTAACTTTATATCAATATTAAACCCTATGTGCCAGGATTTTGCATCCAGTTAGTAATTGGGTGGTAGTCAAAATTGAAAGCCAGGTTAGTTGTTCATAAATATCAATCATAAAAGTTTTGGGAATCTACATACAAGAGTATGTATCCAGGGAAACAGAATATTTTTCAGATTTTTATGCATATTTTTTTTCAGCTAATTTCCATAGCAACGCTGTATTTAAAGAATTCAATTTAAATTTTTTGAAATGTGAAAATTAGGGTCACACCAACGCCTTTAAATATTGATCATCAGTTATATAGAAATATGCTTTTTAAAAAGATAGGATAAGATTAAAACACTAAGAGAGTAAATTTAAAATCCTTTCGTGGTATTAAAACCATGGCAACCGTTGCCAACCTATAAGAAATATCATATTTCGTCCTTGGTATATGTTACAAGGATCTTTTGCCTATTATTTGCTTGCATTTCAACCTATAATTGTTTTTATTCTTAAGTGTATGACTTTATGAAATTATAACTTTATAAGATTATTACTTTTGAATACTTTGTTTCCATAGTAACGTATGTAATAGTTGATTTACCAAACATGTTTATCATGCATTTAAGATATCAGACCTTTAACTTTCAGAAACAGCATTGCCACTTGTTTGCTTTGCTGCAAACTATGGGACTCTGAACATGTTGAAAAATGCCATTTTTCAAACTTTAGTACATGTTGCTATGGTAACCATGACACATTGCAACCAATCTTTGCCTGATTTGAGTTTACGGTATCAAGGGCTTTTATCATAGAGAGTTTGGAGAAAATCTGAGACTATGCGTGCCACAGCTCCTATATGAAAGTTCAAGTCATTACAGAGAATTGCTCTTAACACGTTTGATCCGTGATAACATTTATAGAATTCAACACATTTTATACTAGCATTCAGAGAAGCACAATAGTTTAAAGCAAAATATCTAGCAGAGTGAATTTTAAAAAAAATGACATGATATAAAACATCTTAATGTTGCATAATGCATACCTCAATATTCTATTAAAAAACGACAAAATGGTTGAAAACATTAAGACGGTTAAATGTAACAAATAATAGGATCTGCATTATGTTTTGTTAATTCATTTATATCCAATTTCATATAAGGTATATGACATATTGCGTTATTCTAAAAGAGGAAGACTTGACCTCAATGATCTTTTGCATCAAACTTTAAAAGGAACAAGATTCTTCGCCAGAATTTGATTATGTTGTTAGATAATCACTTATGACAAAGCGTCGAGCTGTAAACAGCTTGTATATCATTTGAAAATAAAGGATACGAATTGGGAGATTAGCCATTTTAACAAATTATCCTAAATTTTGATTCTAGATCTAAAAGTATATACACGTCACAAGGGACGCCACTCCAAATTTATGATTATTTAAAGTCAATGTGTGCATTTCAGAAGGAAAACGATGGACATTTATGGAGGGTCCTTTAAGGATGCTTGAGCTAGACTAACAAGGCACGTCGCATCGTTTTTTTATGGGGAGGTCAGAAAAACAATTGACAACATACATGTACCTGAAAATTTTTTTTGACAAGGAACTACTGAAAAAGCAAGAATCATTTAAAGATATCTGAAATGACCCTCATTTCCAACCATATCCATGCTGAATTATGAAAATGAAATTTATTCATCACTCTTCTTACACAAATTTAACAAGCTCAATATATGCAAAATTTATTTTACCATTCAATTTCAAATAACAGTATCAATGAATATAATACTTATAGCAGGGGTCATTTTATATCAGATTTTGAAGTACTACCCCTCCCAAAGATGGTATATAGCTAATAAGCCATATAATAATAAATATATCACTTAATTGTCTCACGTTTTTTACTTAAAAAATCGATAGTGATAACAATCAACAAAACATATTTACCAATTTATGACTTGTTATGTAAGTCAATTTTATTTAAATGCATCACAAAGAAAGAAAAAAACAGAAAAGCACGTAAACAAGTTAATTCGGTTAAACGAAAACATACATAATGATATTTATGAGAATTGAATTCCACCTAAATATAAGCTGGGATGGGCTTTTAAACACTTAATATACTGCAAGTTGGCCACTTGGGAACAGGGAGATAAATTGCTTGCTGAAGATTTGAATAAATTAAATGGATGATAAAATTCTACTGAAAAAACTTGTCTCATGTTACCTGTCAACCGGTAGATATTGACGAAGGCCGGAAAGCAATATGATATATCTAACAGTAACATAAGAATCCTCAAAATTCAAGTTCAACATTCACAGATACCCGTATTTGTCATTTCTGCATTGAGAAATAAATATGATCACGAAAAACCAGAATATTATCGATTAAAAGGCCAATATTACATATTTTTACATTTCTTTATTCTACTTTATTAATTGAATTGACACGGAGGTTGGAATCAAAATTAAAATAACTTTAAACATAACATCCTACTGAAAGTTATGATTGAATTATTAAGTAATGCTTTTCCCCTTTATTGCGCAACTAGTTTCAACGTTTGAAACAAAGCATTGTAAAGAAGCATTGTGTTGTATCAAATTTTCGAATCCATGTTCGAATGAAATTTGAAGATAACGAACAGTAATCAAGCTGAAAAGTCCATTGAATCTATACAATTTTGGAGTAGAGCAAACACGGACCTCTAAAAACATCAGAGATGGGATCAGGTGCCATGAGGAGTAAGCATCCCTTGTCGACAGGTCACATCCGCAGGTGCTCCTTGTCATGATCAGGTAAGAAGAAAAAAAATCCGTAAACAATTTAGTGTGAAAATAATGACCTACAGATTGTATTTGCTGACAAGGACATTGAATCGACCATAGAATTTGCGAAATGTTGGCTTTGAACCAGACTGTTGATATTCTTGTTTCATCAACTTATTTGGCAATAGCTCGCCCAGTTTTAGAAAATTGTTCGTATGTAGAGCATACTCTTGCGTGAATCTATTGGGAGACATAAACACCATATGCAGGTGACAAGTGTATATTGCTACAAAAATAAGGGAAGTTTACAATATTGAAGTTTAAACCATCATATGTATCATAAAAAAATTGTTGTTAGGTTACCATTAACATTTTTGTCTAGCAAAATATCCAGATATGAAACAGATGTGTCAGACAGACTTGTATGCATTTCTAGCCTTATTTTCATGAAAGATTAATACTTATAGTGCTTTCTACAACTCATGCTCTTGAATAATAAGCTATACCTGACTGATTTAACCTTTATTTCATTTTATTTTTTAATCTAGCTTCACCTTCACTCACGTTAGATATTGGACAATCGTGTTCCAGGAACAAAGGAAATTAGTATTCCTGTGAAATTTTACTTAAATGTAATGTTCTGTGCATATTTCTAGTGGTATATATTGTTACTATCATTAAACTAGATCAGATGTCATTAGTTATATCCCATATTTCTCACTATTTAAGATTACTTTTTACGACTGTAAATTCATGTATATCGTTTTCCAACAACCTCTAACACATGAATCATCAAATTCAAACAGGTGTTTACATTATCCATATAGCCAATAATTAAATACTTGTAAAAATCTCAGATATTGCAGATAAATGTACATTTTTTGAATCTTACCTAAGAGGAGCCATTCTTTCAACCTATCACTAACAAAATATAAAAATGAAAACAAAAATTTTAATGATATTCAAAAAAATTTTAAACTGATTTTATCTTTTCCTTGAATTTCGATACAGTCGGAGTTAGCCAACGACATCACCTCCTTCACTGTAAAATAAACAAAAACGTGTACATGTAAGTAAATTCTGGTACGATGCGAATTTAAAGCGAATTTTGATGGGATAAATGATACCAAAATCTTAAAGTATTGATAATTTCGGCTAAAAGATATAAATTTAAAAAAATTAGTTATATGAATTGTAAATCTGAATGATCTAAATATTATTTTTCAAACAAAGCACAATGTCCTCCCAGATTTTCAACCACACCTAGCTGGCCACTGCCTGGTGCCCTTGAACATCTGCAACAAACCTTTATCAAGGTTATATCATGGACACTCGAAGTTAGGAAAACCATTGCAAAGTCACAGCTCATATAATCTAGTTCTTAACTATATACATACATACATGTACATACATGTACATACATACATACATACGTACATCATGGCCGTAGGAACCGGGGGGGGGGCACGGGGGGGGGCGTGCCCCCCAATAATTTTGCCGATGTATATGTAACTATAGAAAATGTAGCTACTACTAGCTTGTGCCCCCTCAATAAAAACGTCTGATGACCTTTTTTTTTTTGCTTGTCAAGGAATTTTTGGTAGTTGATAGTGCCCCCCAACTGAAAATGTATGGCAGTGCCCCCCCCCAACTGAAATTGCTTCCTACGGGCCTGTACATACATACATACATACATATATATATATATATATATATATATATATATATATATATATATATATATATATATATATATATATATATATATATATATATGAGGACAAAATACTAAGGTCAAAATTTTCACAAGGGAGCAATATAATGCAATTAATCTGGCACAGTCCTGAAACTGATTATATATGGATACATGATAAAGAGTTAAGTCCTGTAAATGATCATACATGGATACAGGATCAAGAGTCAAGTCCTTAAGGTGGGACGACACTCTGTTAAGAGAGATAAGTTCTTCCCAAGAATATAGTTTCAAGCTATCTGATAATTTTGTCTTATCAGAGTTAAGTAATGAGGACCCTGTGGCGGTACGTACCGTCACAGACCCTGATATAGTCATTTCATTCAAATTCTATTCATGTTACAACCACTGACGTCTATTTTCTTTTGCCACTGTTTTTGATAGTAACCAGTAATACATTACCTAAAACTTTTGCACCCAGTTCTTTTAAATTGTTAAAAGTGGAACATTTCTATCTCTTAATAAACAATTTAAAAAAAGCTACAGTAATTTATTATGTAAAAGAATTTTATAAGCACAATATTTTAAAGAAAGATAACTCTTGTCAATGGATGCATTTGTTTTACAAACACAGAAAAAACTGTGATATTCTGCCTTAAAAAAACAACGCCTCATTTTGTTTTCGAATATAAATTCAATATGTAGGACACTTAATATTGTTTTCATATATACCTCGTATTTTTAATTTTATGTTGCGATAAAAGATTATTGTTCTTTCTATTCACCGTGTCAAATTTTCTTCATATCATGATTAAACATAATATTCATTTCTGAAAAAGTATTAAACAACGCTTCATACTGTTTTCCATTTGAATCTTATGCTTTTGTTGTTGATGAATATCAATGTTAGGAATTTAAAAAGAATAGTGAAATTTAGAGCAAAGGGTGATTACAACTTAACAGATCAAACATGGATACATGACCAAGTGTCAAGTCTTGTAACAGATCATGAATGGATATAGGACCAAGAGTCAAGTCCTGCAACTTATCATGCATGGATATAGGAGATCATGAGTGGTTTCATGTAACTGCATGATTAATAATCACGAGTGAAGTTCTCTAACTCAACTTGCATGGATACAGGATTATGGGTGAATTTCTGAAACTCATCATGCACAGATACAAATCTTGATTGTTTCGTAACTCATCATGCATGGATACAGGATCAAAGGTCAAGTCCTAAAACTGATCGTGCATGGTTACAGGATCATAGTGAAGTCCTGAAACTCATAATGCATTTAGACAAGATTACGATTTTCATCTCTAACTCATCATGCATACATGTAGATACCGGATCATTAGTGAAGTTCTGTTACTTATCATGCATGGATACAAGATCATGAGTGAGACCCTGTAGCTGATCATGTAGGATACAGGAATTTGAGTAAATATGACTGACATTATCGCTAAAAGTCATCCACAAAAGGTTTGTCTGTTTGAAAATCTTTACAATGTTCTGAAAATTGGAGGTCGGGAAGTCGGAGAGATGGACAACATGCAGGAGAATAACTGAATCAAGTATCATCCCCATGACTTGTTGGTACAAATATTTATAAAGCATATCAGTTTGACATACAGCAACCTAAATGGTCAGCAAAACATTTTGCAAATAAAAGAAGTTGACAATGACTGCAAAAACTTGCACATTTTGGTCTTGTCCATGTAAAGGTTTTGACCAGACACTTCTGAGAGTTTTTCTAATATATTGATTTAACACACTGACAAATTTTATAAATATTTCAGAGGAAATAATACTCACTCGACATCTGTCTCGCATACAAATCTAAAAACGTGTCCACAGGGCTCATCAGCCCATTTACCATGGCCAACATCCCATAAAGCAACACAATTTGCATCTGTATGTTGATTTGGCTCACCCGTATAAAAGTCATTCACAGTGATGGGTTGCTGGTTAGAAGAATAAATCCAGCGATCTTCTTCTATCAAGTCAGAGATTCCAATCCAGTAAAAACTGGCATCATCTAAAAATAAAATTGCACAAATATATTCCTTACAAATTCGATTCTCATGACCAGTTCATATTTCGAAATTCTTTTTACTGTGAAACGTATGATATTATCATAACATTGATTGTAAATCAAAACTGGAATGTTTGAAGACTACCTGTTGAGGTTAGAAAATATTTCGAGTTTAAGAAAAGGCTAAGATGAAGTAAGGCCTCATTATCACTTTTGTCTAAAGAAAAATAATTTTTTTTACTCACGAAGACTTTGAAAATGGCTAATGAGATAAGCAGACTCTGCATGAGTTCTAGGTTCTGCCAGTTTAGAGTGAAAACCCAAACAAATTGCCTACAATAAAAATATTTATCGTCAGAAAACAAATGCAATTTAAATTGAAAAAAATTGAAAAGACAAATGAAACGTTAATCCTCTCCTATCCTTACTTTCAAAATTTAGTTTAAACAAGTTTCATTCATAAGCATGATAAACAAGCGTCTAAAAGACTCTAAATAAAAGTTTATGAGCACAAAGACACAATATGCCGTAATTATAAATACTTTGTAAGTATTATTAATGTCTGTATATATATATATATATATATATATATATATATATATATATATATATATATATATATATATATATATATATATATATATCATACCTCAGCCTCTCCCCATGGTCTAGCAGTATGGCTGAACCAGGAGCATTTATTTTGAAACTGATTCCAACCCGGCTGACAACCCATACCTTAAAAAGATAAATAATTATAATGCTTGATTAAGTAAAAAAAAAGTAACTCAGTCCACTTCTAGGAGCATATTCTTTAGGCCAGCTTTGATTCATCAGATTTCATGAATTAATAGAATGTTCTTTTTCATACAAATGATACTAGTATTTTAACAAAAAAAATAGCGTACATGTGTATTTATTTTAAAAAAAAATTAATAAATAAATAATAGAATTAATGTAACAAGAGGTTCAAGGGACTTAACGGTCACCTGAATATAATACAACACTTTATAGGATCCATAGAGGTATAAACTCTATAAACTCTAATGTTTTTCAATTTCGTTGAATCTGTTAAATCGTATGAACAAATGCATTTGAGTTACAAGGGTGTAGGCAATGAAATGTTAATGAGCCATGTGTTCATTAATAATAATGTTAAGCAACATAGGGTGGTAGGAATAACATGCACAATACATGTGTTAATTATAATATTAAATATCTTAATTAAATCAACAGTTCAGTTTTTAAATCAGTGGAAATGAAATTTGCATTTGATTTGTGATATATGTTTATAAACTTAATTTAACTCACAACTTACAACTTACTCTTCCAAAACCACAAATTACAGCAGCAACAACTAAAACACAAATGAATTGCATGGCAATCAATTCTGAGAACTTATATTCGGTAAGAACATTTACCATACAGCTGATAAGGTAAAGTGTCCTAACTGTGGCCAGAATGTATAATAGAAATGTATGATAAATAATGATAAGAAATAAATAAATGCTATGCTTCAAATTTGAAAGATTAATCAATTGTCTCTTTGTTTGTTTTATATTTGTTTTGTTTTGTTCACGTCCCTTTGAGAATTTTTCACTCATATTGAGACGCCAATTACCGGTGGAAGGCAGCAAATTTAGACCTATAGTTGGTACTTACGGCCTTTGCGCAGTGAGGGATCTTTTTCGTTCCAGCACCTACTGCGACACGGGGCCACGTTTTATACGGTCTCATCCGAAGGACCCGCAGTGGGATTCGAACCCGCTACGTAAGGACTAGCTCCTTAGTCCGCGACTCTAGAGCAAATGCTCTAACCACTGCGCCACACTGGCGACAATTACGTAACTGACAATTACATATATAGCCTCGCGGAGACAGGTCCTTGGGATGAGATCGTATATAAACCGAGGTCCCGTGTCCCAGTAGCTAGGTGCTGCCACGAAAAAGATCCCTCAATGTTCAATGGCCATATTGCCGAGTACAGCTATGTTTGAATTTGCAGCCTTCCATCGGCAATTAGTGGCGTCCCAGTATTATTGAAAATCCTTTAATGGACGTAAAGCAAGCAAGCAAGCAAACAAACAAAACAAACTAATTTTTCCCCCATGCGAAAAAAGTCATTTTTATCAAAATTTAGTTTTTGGGTATTTTAATAGTACTTCTAAAATACAAAGTTCCAAAGTTTGAATCAGAAAGTCTGAAAAATAACTGAAATATGAACAAATTTATCAAATCCAAAAATCACAACTTCGACGTTGACTTCATAGTGACGTCGTAGAAAAGGTGACGTCGTGAACCTCCAAGCGTCATTCTCCGTTCCTTAATTGGGGGCATGTAACATCCCTGAACTCTGCTCTGACATAGGGTCTGATATGCTTAAATAAATATGATTGTCTTTCTCTGCTCAAACCTCCTGGTAAAACTTCATGCGGAAAATCCTCAGGTGCATCTTTATCTGTTAAGCCAATAGGGACCTCTTGACTGTCCACATCTGTTTTACAAAAGACAACTCCTGGTTTTAAAGCTGATATTCGAAAATGGTGGAACTTTCTTATTCTTCTTATTGGTTTGAAGTGATTTTTCACAAACTCCTTCCAGTTGTAATAAATTATGTTCCTGTCCTGTACGATCACAGCTTTATTACCATGAGAAGATTTGTTGACAACTTCTGCGACATGCTCAATTGTGTTACAATCTGCTCTAAAACGGTTTGACAATATGTCATGATTCAAATAATGCATCTAGTTTGTAATCAAAATTGGTTTAATTTTTTAACTAAGTAATTCAGATTACCTTCGATATTTCTTTCTGATCTGTGCAAAGCCCGCATCAACCTGGCATTTGGTGTGTCCAGGAACTTGCATGTTGAGTTCAACAGCCCAGTGTAGTCCAACCATGACTCGCCAAATTAAATATCCTATGGTGTATCTGTTTTTATTCTGTCCTAAAATAAATCAAAGTAAAATGACAAGTTGATACATATGTAATTTCACACAAATTTCTGATAAGTTAACAAGAGTATAGGCATGAAATATAGATGTAAGAGATTATACCTCCGCAATTGTCACAGTGCAGTACCACAGATTTCTCCCCTAAACCGAATTCGTGAAAATGATGGTGGAGGATACTCAAAAGAGTGTTTGGTCCGTGTGTATTCTTGCCGTCTTTTCCTATCGTCTTGTCTTCATCAAGGAGGTAATTGTACTGAGTACTGGATCCTTCCATACAAATTCCAAATACATGTATCTGTATTTTTCTTGGTGTTTCAAAGAAAAGAGGACCAACTTGCCTAGAATGGTGTGGTACTGTTACATTTTGTGCAAAATCAAAAGTGTAATGGGCATTCACATACTCTGTGAAACAAGATAAATATAGAGAATTTTCTAGGAAATTGTCCTGGTGTTCTACCCTAGCTTCTTGGATGCATTTTATATAATGTTGATGTTCTCTTTCTGCTTTCTCGAGATGCTCTGTGAATAACCTTGTTACCTGCAGCTTCTCATGTTCAGTAAGTGCATACATGATATTATATCTATGACGCTCGCATGTACTACAAACATCTGACCTTGGCGTTGCAATCAGAATGCTGGGCAGGCACGTGGACCATATGGCATAAAAAGAGGAAAACTTTACACAACGTTTGTCTGAAGTACTGCATTCTTCAGAATACATTGTGTGAAGAACCGTCATTAACTTTTTCTCTAACTATTTGTTCCAAAACAGACATTGAGACATCTTTGTCTTGAGACAACATGCTTGTTTGACAGGCATATACTATATTCTGGTTAGTGCTAGGGTGCTCTTCACCTTGTAGTTTGGTAAGTGCTAGGGTGCTCTTCACCTTGTAGTTTGGCCTACTTTTCCAATTTTGTTTTACCAAACTTTAAGTTTTGGTCAAAACTTTTGAACGGTTGATGATAGGGCGTTTACGTTTCAATTGTGTATTCCATTTGACCAAACCTATATAAGGGTACCAATTTGTTTGACCTTTTAATTTTGACCTTAGAGTTTGGTCTACATTTGAAAAATTATAACCTTGGTCATATCTTTTGAACAATTGGCACATGTACTAGACATTTCATACGTCACAATTGTTTTCTTTTTGACCTTTCTTTGGGTACCACCATTTTTGACTTCCTGGCCTTGACTTATTAGTTTGACCAACATTTGTTAAAGTTTAAACCTTGCCTATAACTTTTGAACGGTTGGCTTTAGGGCTTTCGTATTCCAGTTGTCTATTCCTTAGGACAAGGACTTTTCTTTGGTACATGTACCAATATTTTTGTCCTCATGACCTAGACCGACGATGACCTACTTTCGAAAAATTTTAACCTTCGACATATTTTCTGAATGGTTGGTGCTAGGGCTTTCATATTCCATATGTGTATTCCTTGTGACAAGACGCTTGACCTTGGAGTTTGACTTACATTTGAAGAACTTTAACCTTGGCTTTGAACTGCCATACGGGGGCATCAGTGTTTCACAAACACATCATGTTTTTCTTTCAGTCTTTCTATGCTAATCATTCAGAGTGTTTAATTGATTTTATATCTTCATTTTCTGGAGACTACATCTGTGCGTAAGAAAGTATTGAACTTTTCAGTAAAAAATGTCTAAATACAGTCATTTTGTTTATTTTTCATTAATCAATTATAACAAGAAAAATTCCTTCCTTTATATAAAGTGACTTTATTACAATAAACATCATCTTTCCGTGGATTCTGACAAACAAGAAAGATTTAGCCAAGGATATCACCTCCTCCTTCACTGTAAAAAATAAGTATTTGTAAATGTTTGATTAATATTGTCAAAAACTAACTTTTAATCTATAGGAATAAATCATGATGAAACGATAACAAACTGAAATGAACAAATATTTTTAGCAAAAAAGAGTCAACTCTAAGAAACAATTAGATTTGAATAGTAAGGAATATGTTGGCATATGTATTATATATGATTTTCCTTCCTATTCAATCAAAGCTTAGCTGAGGTCATTATATTGTGATTTTGAAATTTTTTATGTTACCTCGTTATTATGACACTGTTTGAAAGTTAGGTCGATTTTGACCGACAAGTAAGCCCGTTGTTTTTACATGTATACTATTTTGAGTTTTGACTACGGTTCGATACGGAGGTTCACGGCGGGTATACCGGTCGACAGAATATGCTTACTCTTTTACCAGGCCCAAAGAACGCGGGAGGGGGGGGGTAGGGGGGTAGAGGGCCTCCACTTTTACTGAGTATAGTATTTTGCTATAGTAAATTTACCTTTAGATGCTAGTGCCCCCCCCCCCTACTTTTTGTCGCTCTAAGGTCGAGCACTGGCAAATTCC